CTTCCTTTTCTTCATTATTATTCATAATTCTACCATTTCCATCTAGGACTGGACCAATACTACTGTTAGGATTCTTTTCCCCCTAATATACTTAGAAAGCTTAAGGCAGTACAGCCAGTCAAGGCTGTGGCTAAATCCCACAGTTGGCTCCAAGCACTTCCATCCTTGTAAAAGTTCTTTGAAAAGTTTCCCTTTTCTACAATGACCATGGGAGTGTATGTCTCTGAGATACAACCATGAGGCAGGACGGAGGACAGGCTGATTTAAGGCAGATTTTACAATAACCAATAAAAATTACAGAGATTAAAATCTTGTCAGAAATTTGTCAGCAGAGGTTTAGGAAATACACCTCTACCTCGATATAACGCTATCTTCGGGAGCCAAAAAATCTTACCGTGTTATAGGTGAAACCGCGTTCTATCGAACTTGCTTTGATCCACTGGAGTGCGCAGCCCTGTTCCCCTGGAGCACTGCTTTACCGCATTATATCTGAATTCATGTTATATCGGGTCGTGTTATATCGGGGTAGAGGTGTACTTTCTGAAGAATTACGGAATTAACAACCCACTAGGTCTTTTTTGTTTGATTTTTATATATAAACAGCTGCTGCAGCTGGAATAAAATCAGCTGGAAAAAGAAAGTAAATTTGTTACTAACTTAGACTCTGATTGACTATTTGCATCAACAGGATTAGCTAAGCCTTTTAAAATCATAATAGATACATTTGAAGGACTTGATTCTGTAGCACTATCACAGGTGGAAGACTTGATTGCCCAGAGGGGAAGCTACATAGCTGAAGAGAAGAAGCTTAAATTTGGTGTGGTGGACAAGAGGGAGCCAGTGGGTCAGTAATTCTGGTGTCTTTAGTGGGAGTGATCAGGCCTTTACTGTGAATTTCTTTTTTACTTACCTCAAATAGAAAATGTCAGACGGAAAAGAGGAGAGCTCCTCTAAAGAGTCACCGGTTCTTCTGGGAATCAGAATTGTATCTGCTAGAGGAGTTGTGTCCAGTAGTGGGCCTGGGAGAGGGCTGTGGCAGGGGAAAGGCTGGGCTGATTGGAAAGTAGCCACAGCTGTGGCTGGCTTAATGAGGGCCCAGCTGGCCCTTATAAAAAGGCTATGAGCCAGAGGCCCAAGAGAAGTCTGTCTCCAGGCTGGGAGAGTGCAGGACCTGGCTGCCTGCAGAAAGGGTACTGGGAGTGAAGCAGGGCTAGGGTAAGGCCAGGGGAGCTCCAGGCTGGCAACTCCCGAGGCTGAGGGGCCTGGTTCAAGGCCCCTAGAGGTACTAGGAGGCAGAGGAAGGCAGCAGGTTCAAACCCCCTTGCCTATGATGAGTGGCTTTTACACTGCAGTCTGCCCTAGGGAGCAGGGGTGTGGTGATGACTGGCAGTAGCCCAGACTGAGGCAAGGAGGGGTGGGGGTTTCCCAGAGAGGGGAGACCCATAGAGACTGGAAGGGGTATTGCCAGGGGGCAGCCCCAGGGTAAAGGGGCACCGGGGTCCAGGAGGAACATAGGGACAGTTACAAGCGGGACACCAGCCTGCAGAGGGCGCCCAGGCTGGAAAAAAGCTAATTCCCTGAGAAGACCAGCGGGGGTGAGTCCCGCACCTTTACATCGCCTAAAAAGGTCTACTGGAAAAACTAACTTTGGTGTCAAAGATCAGGGACTGTCACAGGGGAACTGGTCTCTATGGATAGACTAAGATCAGCTTCACTGGACTGGAACTGGTAAGCCCAATCCAACTAGTTAAAGAGGGCTGGGCTACCCCTGGGCCGATAAAGGGCTGCTGGTAGGTAGCTGGGGAGAGGGAAAACGAGAGAAGATGAGCCCTGAGGAGCACTCGGAGTGGAGCTAACCCCTGTGGTGGGTCTCTGGAGCAAGGGGCCAGGGGCTCAGGGAAGCAGCCCCCTGGAGTGCCAGAGACCCTTGGGAGGGGGCGGGATGCCTGAAGCATGAGACCAAGGATTGAGTTCAGACTGTGTTCTATTTGTTAACCTCTGTTATGAAAATACACCACCTTGACTGAGACTGGGCATGGCAACGCATGTTTTGGAGCCAGAGAGAAGCAATGGCCGTGGTGACAGGGACCCAGTCCCATTTGCAACAGAACAGCTGGTTGGCAGAAAGTCTCTCATTTGTAATAATTCCTTATTGGAGTGACTTGGAGTAAGCAGTCAGTGGCTAAGAGGGAAAGTTCATGGATTAGTAACTGTTTAAAAGATAAGAAACAAAGGGTAGGAATAAATGGTCATTTTTCACAATGGAAAGAGGTAAATAGTGGGGTCCCCAAAGGATCTGTGCTGTTCAATATATTCATAACTGATCTGGAAAGGGGGATGAACAGTGAGGTGGCAAAGTCTGCAGAGAATAAAAAATTACTCAAAATAGTTAAGCTCAAAGCAGAGTGCAAAGAGTCACAAAGGGATCTTACTAAACTGGGTGACGGCGCAACAAAATGGCAGATGAAATGCTGAAAAGTGCAAAGTAATGCACATTGGAAAACAATCCCAACTGTACATATAAAATGATGGTGTCCAAATTAGCTGTTACTACTCCAAGAAAGAGATCTTGGAGTTATCATAGTTAGTACTCTGAAAACATCTGCTCAATGTGCAGCAGCAGTCAAAAAAGCTAACAGAATGCTAGAAAATATTAGAAAAGGGATAGATAATACAACAGAAAATATCATAATGCCATTATATAAATGCATGGTATGCCCACACCTTGAATACTGCATGCAGTTCTGGTCGTTCCATCTCAAAAAAAGATAGATTAGAATTGGAAAAAGTTCAGAAAGGGGCAATAAAACTGATTAGGGATGCGGAACAGCTTCCATATGAGAGATTAAAAATACTGGGATTGTTCAGTTTAGGTGTCACCCAGTGAAGTTAATAGGCAGTGAGTTTAATACACACATACGGAAATACGTCTCACAACATGCTCAGTCAACTTGTGGAACTCATTGTCATGGGATGTTGTGATGCCCAAAAGTATAACTGGGTTCAAAAAAGAACTAGATAAGTTCATGGAGGATAGGTCCATAAATGGTTATTAGCCAAGATGGTCAGGGATGCAACCCAATGGTCTGAGTATCCCTAAGCCTCTGACTGCAAGAAACTGGGACCTGGTCCACACTAACCCCCCACTTCGGACTAAGGTACGCAAATTCAGCTACGTTAATAACGTAGCTGAATTCGAAGTACCTTAGTCCGAACTTACCGCGGGTCCAGACGCGGCAGGCAGGCTCCCCCGTCGATGTCGCGTACTCCTCTTGCTGAGCTGGAGTACCGGCATCGACGGCGAGCACTTCCGGGATCGATTTATCGCGTCTAGACAAGATGCGATAAATCGATCCCAGAAGATCGATCGCTTACATCCGGACCAGGAAGTAAGTATAGACGTACCCTGGGACTGGATGAGATGGATCACTCGATAATTGCCCTGCTCTGTTCATTCCTTCAGAAGCATCTGGCACCGTCCACTGTCAGAAGACAGGATACTGGGCTAGATGGCCAATCTTATGTTCATATGGTTTTTGCATGTCTCTCTCACTTGCCAGGATTAGTCTTAGTTTGAACAGGCAATTGCCCAAGACAGTGAAATGTTTATTGTGTGAGTAACTGCTGGCGATGGGGGTGGACCTTTTCCCATTTGCTTAGGGCAGCAATAACCCTAGAGTCAGCCTTGTCTGTAGTTTGATAGCCAACAAGCTAAAAATACAACAAACAAGTAAAATGAAAATCAGTAATAAACTGTAACCAGCTCACAACCAATAAAGACAGTGTTCTATCAGGTGTGTGGTCTTTTGTAAGAGACTCTATCTTACTATTCAGAATATTTAGAATCGTGGTTCATTAAGACAAGGAAGAAGAAAAAAATTATGCTTTAAAAATAGAACAAACTGCAGAGACCGAATATCTATACATTAGGAAGTTTCATAAAGCTTTAGTAACCAACTCAATAAGTAACAAAAAATGTTTCCAAAGGAGAGCTGTACAGATACTATGGAAAACTGAAGAGAGAAAACAAATGCATTTGATTGGTACAGCACTATACACTGGAAGTGTGCTAGAGTCTAATGAGAAAGAGAAGAGGCTGAAGATTGGGAAGAATTTGCCATTGATTTCAATGGGAGCAGGATTGGGTCGTGGAATAGGTATATTGTGCCTGAGTTCTACAAAAGACAGCAGTAGTGAGAAAGGCAAGAGCATTAGGGGCAGCTTGCAAAAAGTGTATCAGCAGTTAGCAATTACTCTGTTTCAGCCCTTTGCCTTTGGGCTTGACCGCCTATTGTGACTATTTCCTCTTCCACAGTCATTTTAAACCATAACCTTCTGAGAAGATATATACAGTAGATTAATTGATATAGCATGCTGTATACAGTTTTCTCAATACATTCACAGCCATTATGCTTGGGTAATTTTTGTCACCCTTGGGCATTTTCGTTTTGCATATCTCTAGTTACAATTTTACTGAAATCATTTTCTTTTTTATTGGCCTCTTATATCATCGGAGTACCTGTGATTTCCCAAAGGTTAGATGATGAATGACAACACATCATCGGAAGACAAAATACAGGCATTTATTAACGATAACAATTGATACTTTTCCTTCTCTTGTCTGACAGAGAGTCTTGACTGAGTGCGTTACTTATATTAAAATTTAACATGGTCTTTTTGAACCATGTATCAGACAATTAAAATTAAGAATTTTAAAAACAACTTCAACTATAGTGAATTAGCCCCAATCCTACAAGGCCCATGAATAGTTCCACTGATTTCAGCAAAATCAGTGGGGATCTGTGGAGACCCAGCATTCCATCCACATGCAATCAAATGCAGAATCAAAGCCTTTAAGTAATTTTGGTGGGTGTTGACCTATAGGCCATATCCTTGTAAGGCGTAATAGCTCATCTATGAGGAAAACTAACATAACGCTTTGAAGCTTTGCTAAGAAATGGGAAAATACCAGCTTGCTGACATTATTAATATATAATCACCTTTGACATATGCCCTGTCCTTTTTCCAGTAAGTAGTTTGCCAATCAGGGTCCAGACACCCCAAAGGGAGAATCGAAGGTTTAAACCCTGAAAATGAACAGTTGAACTAACTGATTTCATAATCTATTATTGTACTATAAAAGTGTATTGAATAAATACATATTACATATTAAAAACGTTACTCCTGGGGGAATTCTGCGCACAATATTTTCAAATTCTGCAAAATTCTGCATATTTTATTTGTCAAAATAACACAATTATTTTTGGTCATTTATTTCAAAATACCTGCCAGCAAGTATGTCTGGAACAATACAGACAACAAAAAAGATTCAGAAAATGTTTTTTGACAAATAGATTCCTTACCAGCATATTTATATGGAACTCTGACTAATAATTCATGTAAACTACAATACAGAACCATATTTCCTGCACCCCCTATAAGCAGTTCAAAGGCTGTGGGGAGTCAGGGGTAATGGAAGAGCTGAGGGAGAGGGAAATAATTGCTGGGAAGGAGCCTGGGTGTAAACTTGCTGGGTTGTTGGGTATGGGTGGGAAAAATATAGAACAGGTTTTTGGGGGGGGCGAGGAGGGATTGTTAGGGAACTTTCCCCACTCAGACAATGGCTGACCCCTAGCCTCTCCACCCCCTCCACTCCCACTCAGATACCCACTCTCCTATCCCCATGTGTCCCTGCACCCCCTCCACCTGTCCCAATATGTCTCTGTGACCCCTCAGCCACCCCCCCCATCTCTTTGTGGCCCTGGACCCTCTCCCTGGCCCCATGTCTGTCCTCCCCCACTGCGCCTCCACTCCCATTCAGCCCCTTCCCAGTCTGTCCTCCCCCACTAGCCCTTATGAGCCCCTCTCTGACCCCCCAGCAACCCCACACTGTCTCTCTCCCCATAGCCCCCGTCTCCTGACCTGGCCAGACAGGCGCTATGAAGAAAGCTCTGCAGGCTCTTTCTCTTCCCTAGCTGGCTGGGAGCGGGCTGCTGTGTTCTAGCACCACAGCACCCTCTGGTGGACAAAAAGCAGAACTGCAGCAACTTTTCAGCAGAAGCTTCTTTCTGTGCAAAAAAATTAAAAATATTCACAGCTCATTAATTATGCACACGCACAATGGCACAGAATTCCCACAGGAGTAAAACATATTTGAATGTAATACATTGTGCTTGGTGGCTTATCTGGAGCTCATCACAGGTTAGTGTGGGTGTAGTCATGGTTCTCCTGGTTTTTCAATGGTGTAGACTGGTAGAGGTAAGTGTTCATGACATGCTGCCACAAGTCATACTGGGAAATATAGAGAGCAGCATGGAGTTTTTCATGGACTAGAAAGACCATTATGACCAGAGTCTTTGGGCCTGTACCTCAATAATGCAACATTGGTGTTTGCCTGAGCAAAGTCATAATGTCTTGATGCACTTCCTGCTACACCTCCCTGTCCCTTTGCCTCTCCTGCAGCAACTGCTCTCTCCATTCTTAGCCCTTCACCCTGGTGTTGGACATTCGGCCCTTTCAATTCCTGTCTTCACAGTCAGCAGCTCTAGAGAGCTGGAGGATCTTGCAGAACATATCCTCCTTGATCCACTTCTTTTTTCCCCTGATCCAAGTCAGATGTTCAGCAGGCCTGGAGGGGCACCTCTTGAGGCCACCTGACCAGAGGTTGCTGATTCAAACAGACAGATACAGCAGTAGTTTTATTGTCACAATGGAGCGGGAAAGGTAAATCTCAAAACTTCTTTACATTATTGCCATAACTGCCTTTAACAAGAAATGCTAATGATCACTTTTGTTTTGGAGCACCTTGTTACAGCACCACTCTGCAGCTCAAGCCATGGTGAATATGGACTAGCTAGGGCTGATGACTGCTGCATGAAGGCTTTAGATGCTGGGCGACCCTGGGTCTGAGTATAGGGAAAGAGCAGTAAATATTGCCAATTTTTTCACAGGCAGTGGTGATTTTGGCTCATTTCTCACTCTTGAGGATGACAAAGGCCCAGAGAACACAGCTGCTACTGGGTATCCCAGGGCTGCCCAGGCCCATATGTTCAGGGCCGGCTCTAGGTTTTTTGCAGCCCCCCACAAACCCCTGCCTCCCCAGCTCTGGGCTCCCCCCAACCAGTGCTGACTCCACCCGCTCCCCCCTCGCCTCCAGCCGGTCTGGCGCTGGCAGGGTTGGAGTAAGCAGCGGGGCTCCCGGGCCACGCCTCAGCCCAGGGCCCTTCCAGCCAGGGCTCATGCCTCCAGGACCGGCTGGATCCAGGAGGGCAGAGCTGGGGGACTGCCACGGCAGGGGACTGAGGAGCTGGGGCAGGGTAGCCCCAGAGGGAGTGGAGCCCCAGAGAGTGGGACGCAGGCCCCACATGCCAGTGCCCAGGCCACCGGTCCCCACTATGGCCCCGCTGCTGCTGCTGCTCCTGGCTGCCCTGCCGCAGTCCCTAGGCAGCTCGGGCCGCTTCGCCCAGCCCCGGCTGCGGCGCTGGGGGCCGGCCGCCCTGCGGCACCTGCAGGCAGCTCCCCCCGCCCAGTGGCCCCCAGCCCGAGTGTCCCACGCTCAGAGCCCGCTCAACCCAGCCACAAGGTGCGGGCGCTGCTTCCCGACACGAACCACAGCAGTCCCAGGGCACCCCCCCTGCGCTGCTGCTGGCAGGGCTGGCTCTAGGCTTTTACCACCCTAAGCAAAAAAAAAAAAAAAAAAAAAAAAACCGATGGCCAGAATGCTGCCCCTGAAAATGTGCTGCCCCAAGCACGTGCTTGGTTTGCTGGTGCCTAGAGCCGGCCCTGCATATGTTGCTAGCCTGTTTACTACAGTGTTACCAGCAGAACTCACCACAGAGTAGCAAGGAAATGCTTTCTTTCATGGGGGAAGAAACAAGGCAACCCTCCATTGAAACACATGGGAGAGGAATGAAAAGTATCTCCAAGAAAGATTCATTGACATTGTTCCAGTGGATAAAAGGAACATCTTTGTTCAGATAAACAAAGTACGCCACATGGGGAGAACTGCACCCCTCTCCCCTGCCTAGCCCAACAAGCCAAAGAAAGGAAAAATGGATGTTGCCTCTGCCTGTTCCTTCTACCTCTAGCCGAGTATAGGACACTCGTCTTTTGTGGAATGTGTAATTTGAACTGCCCTAATTTTTTTGAATTTATTTTCTATTATTTTAGAAGCTAAGTGTGCAATCAAAAGTCAATGCCTTTGTTCTCTAATGAAGTGGATGGGAGGGGAGTCATTTTTAAATACAGAAGAAGGATGGGGGGAGGAAAGGTAGGTTATGGGGAACAAAAAGGTAAAACAATGCTTATAAGGAATAATGCATGTATACACTTACCCGAACTCCCCTCCCCTTCATCACCAGGTTTCTCTGTGCTCACCTCATGGGACTAGTTTGACTCTGGCTGAGTTTCAAACAGCTCCTGGCTCATCACATGGTTTGTTTTGTCTTACATGCCCCTCTCCCACCTTCTCATGCACAGCAGGGGTCTCTGTGCCAGGCTCTCACAAAATGTCCAGTCACTTTTAGGATGCACATGGGATCCCCACCAAGTATGGCATGCAATATGTTGTAGAAGCAGCAGGTCTGTGGGGCAGAACCAGATTTGTTGTTGCCCTTGATCATCTTTTGCCAAAGTTCCTTTGCTTTCATGCAGCATTGCAGCTCATCCCTGTTGTGCCTCAGATTTAGCATCCCCTGTACAATCTGCACGTAGATGTCTGTATTTCTTCAGAGACTCTTTAGCTGGGCTTACGCAGCCTCTTTTCCCCACAGGCTGAGATCCATGACTTCTTTCCTACTCCAGCAAGGAGCACATCTAACAGCTCTCTGGGGGGTATATCTACACACTGAAAAAACCCCACCTATGAGAGCGAGTCTCAGAGCCCCGATATACAAACTCGGGCTCATGCTATGGCACTAAAAATAGCTAAATAGACATTCCTGCAGTTTCAGCTCTGAAATCTGGTGGGGCAGCGGTGTCTCAGAGCCCAAACCAAGCAGGGATATCTACATGCAGCTCTTCTTTGTGTCATAGCGTGAGCCCAAGTCAATAGAGCAGAGGTGGGCAAACTACGGCCCACGGGTCAGATCCGGCCCATCATGGCTTTGGATTCGGCCCACGGGATTGATGCGGAGCACTCTGCCCCCCACCCCCGGGGGCTGCACCACTGGCTGCTTCCAGGAGCGGCGCGGGGCCAGGGCAGGCAGGGAGCCTGCCTTAGCTCCGCTGCATGCCGCTGCCACCCCGGAGTTGCTTGAGGTAAGTAGCGCAGGGCTGGAGCCCGCAACCCGAACCCCTCCTACACCGCAACCTCCTGCCCTGAACCCTCTGCCGCACCCCTCCTGTACCCTAACCCCCTGCCACACCCCTTCTGCACCCCAACCTCCTGCCCTGAGCCCCCGTTGCACCCCACACCTCTCCTGCATCCCAGCCCCCTGCTGCACCGCTCCTGCACCTCAACCTCCTGCCCTGGTCCCCCTTCTGCACTCCGCACTCCCTCCCACACCCCAACCCCCTGCCCCAGCCCTACATGCAATTTCCCCACCAGATGTGGCCCTCGGGCCAAAAAGTTTGCCCACCCCTGCTATAGAGCTTGGGCTCTGAGACTTGCTATTGCAGGGTTTTATTTGCAGTGTAGATAAACCCTGTGTGTGTGGAGCTGGTGTGGTCAGATGCACACAACAAACGTGGGCTAGTGGGTATGCTCGCCAAGATGGGCAATCAAGAAAAGGTATTTCAAAAACACAGGGGGAATTTTAAAGAGTGACACAACTTCTGGCGTCTGTGATCCCAGGCACTGGACTTCAAAGTTGTGACCCAGACCACTGTCACAGGAACTGAGGCATTGTAGGACAGGGGCTAGAGGACTGTTAGGGCACAGCTACACAGCAAGTGTCAGCACATAGCAACAAGTCTCAGAGCCTAGTTGTAACGTACTGTATGGATTTTGGGTGCACAACTCTACAAGACATGAGAGTGTCTTGTTAACTAGGTCTTGGCTCTAGAACGCATGTTATGATTTTATTTTATATGTAACCCTTTGTTTCCAATACTTCTACTTGAATCTCTATGCTTTGTTAAATAAACTTATTTATGGCACTATAAACATTTATGTCACACTAAGTACTGTGTGTTAAGCAGAGCGGTAAACTGAGGTGGAACTGGTAAGGTGGGGAGTATTGTTTCTGTAGAAGCAGTGAATCTGTGAATACTGCAAGTGTCCAACAGATAAAGGGATGGACACTCCAGAGAGAAAGAGGGCTCAAGGGTTGGGGTGTGCCAATTGCTAACCTACAGAGTGACAGCAGGGTCTGCGAGGCCTAGAGGAGAGTGTTTCTGTTCCCCATGGCTGGAGGAGTTGGGGAGCTGATACATAGCAGGTACGGACAAGACTTCCTTATTCTGAAGCAGGTGCCTTACAAATCTGGGTACCCCCAGGATGAGTCACCCCCTAACTACTTTCACTTCTTTTTCAGGCCTGATTCAAAGCCCATTGCAGTTGATGGAAAGACTCCCAAAGACTGAAATTGGCTTTGGATCAGGCCCTTGTTTAGGAGGCTCACTTCTAGGCAGGATGTCTGTGAAAAATATGTTTGATAAACAGAGTTTTAATTTATCTCTAAACTACAACTATTGCTCGGTATCTACAAATATTGCTGGATATCTCAGATGTTGAAAACAAGTAAATAAAACATCTTTTATTTAAGGGCCCATTTCCACTGATTCAACAAATGAGTTTTAAAACGGTGCTGAAGGGTGCTTTACACATGATTGTGGATAAACAGAGTTCCACACAATGTAGCCTATCAAGCTATATTAGAATAATCATGCTGTAGCATGCCATAGTTAGCGATCCATTTGAGAGCACAGTTTTTGAACATTTTTCTAGTCTCAGATGGTTTGGCCTTTCCTACAATGGCTGTCCAAATCATGTTACAGCACCATTTGGACACAATCGAATGTAAACCATGCTTAGTAATGATCTTTATAGTTGGCTGATATGCCATGCAGGCAGGGCAGGAATTGAGATGGTGATATATTCCTAACCAGAGATTAGACTTCTGGGAATGGAAGTTTTGTGCTATTTATTTATATAGCATACCTTTTGTGAGTTCTGGGTGCTTGTGAAGAACTGGGGAGGAAGCAGATATTGTGGCTCCAGAAATTAAATATACCAAAAAACAATTAGGACTGTTTAATTTGACAAGAGCTAGTTTCAGACTATAAATATCAGAATGCTGAAAAAAGGAGGGGAAAAAAGCTGATTATATTTTTAGAAAACATTTTCACAAGCTGACAATTCAAAAAAATAGAATTCCTGTACATGGGAACGGAGCGAACATAAAACTGGTACTTAAAAAGGGGGTGAGAGTAGAAAACAGAAATTGTTGATAACTCAAAGAGAGGTTACCAGTAGGCTACGTGTATGAACCTTTGAACTCTATCTTTCTGTTGCTGTATTTTATATAAATGACATGACTGATGGAGCTATATTTCAAAGTTTGCAGATGAGATTAAATTACAGAAGACATCAAATCCATTTCTTATAAAGTAAATGTGTTAAACTGATTATGCTTTTGGACTAATAGATGAAAACAGCAGATAAATGAAGACTTTTAAGTCAGAGCAAAAGAACCTAAAAAAGAAATAGTTATTATAAGGAAAAGCACTGTAGCGTTCTACCACAGTAAGATAGCTAAGACTTAGAATGCAATATTGTTAAGGTTTTCAGCCAACGTACATATAAAATGAAAAATGCGGAATCAAATTGCTAAGGGAACACTGCAGAGATAACAGGTCTGGTAATTTTACCATATGAGTCCCCCGTTAGATGTTTGTGACTCTATATATTTACTCATTTCTGTTTCTTAGACTAAAATGTTTATTTTAAAATTCCTAATGTATAACCAGTATTGATCTCTACATTTTGGAGAATAGAAGTTATCAAAGAATGTCGCAACAATGTCACACTGCATCACCGCATAACAACTGGGTACTGGTCATAATATAATTCAGTGTAACCATGTCCGAATTTCAGTTTGAATGCTTAATGAAAGGTAATATTAAACTAACTTTCACAGCTGATAAGGAAACATCAGTTAATCTCTACCAGTTAATCTTACCTACAGGATATTGCCATTTTGTTAACTCACTGAAATTATTAAAAAGGTGTTTCATTGTGATCCATTTTCCACAGAAATGTGTGCGCTTTCTAGAACTCTATCTATTCTTCAATATATGCAAACAAAGGACTATATCATGTCATTGACTGTTAAACAGAAGTCCCAGGTGAAATGGAATTCTGTTAAAAAATTGGTGGCATGATACATCTTCCTAGCTGTCTGTCGTAGTGCTATGTGACTGCCTCCCAAGCATTTATATATGGAAACAACAACAGCAGTCTCTCTCATGTCCAAGATTGTAGAAGAAATAGCTTGATTAGTTCAAAAGCTGGTGTATGTGCATGTATAAAGAACTGGAAAAGCTAAGCTGTAGAGATGAGTTTTGCATTTAGTTTAAGGCAAGATCTGTAGTCATTCTTACCTCTTGCAGTAGTGAGTTCCCCAATCTAGCCCCTGTGAAAGTTCTGTCTCCTGCCCTCCTGAGCCTCGCTATATTGGTCAGTTTCCTGGTTCCACTGCAGCTGTTGTAAAAGGACATAATTGTTGAGAGAGAGAGAGATGATGCCAGGCAAACTCCCAATGATAGTCTGGTAGCTAGGGCCATACCCATGGAGGGCTTTCGATATCTGGACAGAGATTTAGAAATAGGCTCCAATCAAAAGGGATCCAGCACAGAGAGCAAAGCACAGGGTGATATGTTGGTTCATAGTAACCTGCGGGAGCAGCAGCTCTGCATTTTTCACCAGCTGGTGCTTTTCCAGCACGTGTGGTTTCATACCTAGATATAATGATTTTCTGCAATCCAGCCCAGAGGACAAAAATGCATGGATCACTGTCAGACCTGTGTCTGATAGAATAGAGTGCAATCCTCTGACCAGTCACTGATAGAAGTATTTTTGCTGCTGTGATTATTTGGGCATCTAATAGCGCTGGGTAGTCAGAGGAACTCACAACTGCAGAGCACGTGAACTGATAGCGGATGCCCTTACTAATGGGGGGGGGGAGGATTTATTTGTATTACCATAGTGCCGAGGAGTCATAGTCATGCACCTGGATGTTATAGAAGAGACAAGGTAGAGCCCAAATTGTCTTATGTGAACAGGAGACTTATGGGGCCAAATCATGAGACCCTTATTTACCAGTTATGCCACGTTTACCCATGTTAATTGCAATGGCACTATTCACATAGTGGGGTATTGCTAACAATGGGTAAGGATGGCAGAACTGTTTTGCACTTGATTTTATTGGGAGTTTGCCTGTTCAAGAAACGTGTAAAGACTTCATAATTTGGCCCAATGTAGAATCCTAAATCCCACAGTAAATAAATCTTGTTCATATGGACAGAAACCTTTCACCTTCTAACACTTTGCACTTATATGGCACCTTTCATCTGCTGAAGCTCTCAAAGCACTTCACAGATATTAACTGAACATGTCCAAGGCTGGCACACCCATTAGGCGACCTAGGCGGTTACCTAGGGCGCTGCGATTTGGGGGGCGGCGACCGCCGCAGTATTTCCGCGGCGGGACCTTCCGCCACCTCTGGGGGGGGGCATTTTGGGGCGGGACTTT